TGTTGTTGGACTCCGGCTTGCTTGCTCGGCTGTTGTTGGACTCCGGCTTGCCTGCTTGGCTGTTGTTGGCTTCCGGCTTGCTTGGTTCGCTTCTGCTCTTCTTCAGCTTCGGGTTCTCGGGGTCAGGCTCGCTGGCTTTGTCCACGGGCTCAGCCGGTTTTTCAGGGCTGGGTCTCGGCCAAGGGCACTGGGCATCCTCTACAGCACTGTCGTAGCTCAAGGAGTCGGTACTGCACCCGGTCACCAGAGTAGCAGCGCACGGTGGCACCACCAAGGCACCAGGCACGGCGAGGCGTGAGGTCTGTCTTGCCAGACACGGTGCACCTCATGTAAATACTGTACATGCACAACTTCAATAGCACACACACACACATATATATATATACATATGTTTCTTTATGTAACACAATATATAGTATATACCCGGCCATGTAACATGCATACATGTATGTGTGCATGTATCTGTGGTATGTATATATATATATATATGTATGTATCATGTATGTATATATACATATATATATACATGTTTGTGTGTGTGTGCACATGCATGTATGCATGTGTCATATACCGATCGTACCCAGAAGCTACAAACCAAAAGGGGGGTAGGTTTCGATATATGTATATCACATACATGTATATATATATATACATATGTACATACATGCATGCAAGCATACATGCATGCATGCATGTGTGCATACATACATGCATACATGCCTACATGTGTGCATGTATGTACTAAACCCTAAACCTTAAACCCTAGATATAGATGCACAGCTAGGGGATTGTTCAGGGTTGCAGGTTTAACCCAGGTTGATGTGTTTAAAGTTTTTTGGGACAGCGAGGGGTATGGGCGTAAACATCAAAAACGGCCTAAAGGGCTGGAAAGGGGATTAGGGACCCAAGGGATCTAGGGATTGGGTTTTGGGATGACATCATATGGACTGGCTTGTTGAGGTTCGGGATCAACAAGCTACTTCTGGGCTCTGTGAAGGTCTTGGACTCCTCTCTATATAATTGCAGAATAGCCACCAGACGGGCCAGCCTCGGACCGGGCTCGGGGCTTGCCACGTGCAGCAAGCTGGGCCTGCAGGGCCTGGATTCTGGCCCTGGAAGCCTTGGCTGGCACATGATTCAGTTTTGTCCTCCCGCCTTAAGTAGGGTCTTACCAAAAAAGCTTTAGGGGTTTAAGGGCTGCGGGTGTCGGGGTCAGGCTTTAAGGCAACCATCTTAAACCAGACAAAGGGCTTCGATTCTGCTCTGCACATCATGAGCTTGCTCTGGCTGCGACATCGAGTTGCACACAAGAAGTGGCACAGCTTCCCCCAAGGAGTTACAAGAAAACAAACGAGAGGTCATGAAGGGACCCCTACCTACAGTAGCAAAGCTAAAGAGCCTTTGCAAAAGCACATTCATACACTCGAGACCAATCGCACACTCTAGCGTGCAGGTTGCTGCTTTTGCATCCACAAATGCAAGATCGAGCTGGCAGGCATCGTCCGTGCTTTGCACACACGAATTACATGATCGGCTATATAGGCTTAGGGTTTAGGCCTTAGGGGTTCAACTCGAAAAGTGGCCGATCTGAGTAGTTTATGGTCAAAAGGAAAATAGGGTTTGCTACGTTTTTTGGGTTTGCGGCCGGTTGCGGGGATTTGCGGCCGGGTTGCGGGTATTTGCGTCCGGGTTGCGGGTAAATCTGGCCGAGCAATTTACTGTAAAGCCACCATAATGAGCTATATTTCGAAAAGAGTCCGAGCTATTCCTAGGGGCTAGGGACACCCGGTCTTAGAACACCAAAGTACTCAGCAAACAGCTCGAGAAACACCCTATAGCTTAAGTAGTCTATAGACATTATAAGGAACCCCAAAGACTATAAGCCCATCACTGCTGAAGACTCCGCAGATCTTCGCGAAGAGCCGTGGATCCACATGCCTGGGCTGTCTAGGGTTGAGGGTTTAGTTTAGCTATATATATATATATATAGGGTGGGGTTTAGGGTTTTGGGTTTGGGTTTTGGAGCTTGGGGTTGGGGTTTAGGGTTTAGGCCCGGGTTTGGGGTTTGGGGTCTGGGGTTTGGGGTTCAGGGTTTAGGGTTTGGGGTTGAGGGTTTCGGGTCTGGGGTTTGGGGCTTAGGGGTTAGGGTGTGGGGTTTATACTCTATACTACTATTACTATACTACTACTACTACTGCTGCTACTGCTGCTACTACTACTACTACTACTACTATACTACTACTACTACTACTACTACTACTACCACCACCACAACCACTACCACTACCCTACCACTGCCACTACCACTGCCACTGCCACTGCCACTGCCACTACCACTGCTACTGCTGCTTCTACTGTGCACTATCTACTACTGATCGATTAATACCTAGCTAGTAGACTATGACCACCAGCAACACTACCGCCACACCAGAGCACCAACACCGGCACCATCCCCATGCACAAACACAACACCACCCCCGCCAACACCCCGAATGACCACCCCCCCCAACCACTTCCACCACCAGCAACAAAACCACCCCACATGTGTTACTACTACTACTACTACTACTACTAGTACTACTACTACTATACTGCTGTAGTACTACTATATACTATCACTACTACTACTACTACTACTACTACTACTACCACTACTACTACTACTACTACTACTACTGTATACTACTACTACTACTACTACTACTACTACTACTACTACTACTACTACTACTCCTACTACTACGACCACCACTTCTCAGTTACTGCACACAACCGTCAAGTGCGACCC